CCCCACCCTGAAAAAAAATTAATCGAGACTAGACGATTTTATTATTTTTCGAGAGCTTTTTACTGCATTATAGTGTTGACTAGGGTCATTTTGAAAAATGGATGTAAGCGTAAATAGCTCCGTTATTCCCAATGTTCACCCCCATCTTTCGAGTTGGAAAGAAAATCGTAGTTACCTTATGTCTAAGACGATTTAGCTCAATTTTCCAGCTTTCATTATGACAATAGATGACCACAGGAACTACCAGTCCATATCTAAATTATTACTTTATGTATAAAGCAATTATAACTTTAACGCAACCTTTATAAAGAGTTAGAAGTCGAGAGCATTTTTGGATACAGTCTATCAACCCGACAAGAGATCCCGATGTTGCCTATTGTACCACCCTTCTCTTCTAAGGAAAGATGGCACACGAGCGGGTGTTATTAGGAGAGCAAGTCGTAAGAATTTGATAATACTTCGCATAGCCTAAAGGCCTGACCTAAAGTCACATTCTTGTGACCAAGTAAGGTGGAAGGATCGAAATTGCTTCCTGGTCAGTGGATTTTTGAAAATCCTCGGATTTAGGCAAACATTAATTAAGTCGTTAGCTTTCAAGAGTTAGCCACCTTCTTCTGTGTGGTTGAAAAAACGTTTCATATATGACTTTGACTTACATTATTATTGAAAATTCGAAAATAAGCACTGCTATATTCCGATAGAATATCGACACATCGAAATTATTGACAATAAGTGCTATTGATGCGATCATATTCAGGAATCCTACCCACAGTACGGTGTGGTTGACAAACTGAAAAAGAAGGAAAATGGTGAACAGCTCAAGAAAAACTTCGGTAAATAGTAGAACAATATTGAGATCAAGGTACTATCTCGAACGCATGATTCGAGAATTGAATCCTAGATCGATACTCGCCCAGAAGGGATGGACCTGCCATTCCTTTGAAGTTGGTTAATCGCTACCAACTCATTTGGGAGGGTAAAAACAGTAACATAGTACATTATCTGACCACCGCAAGTCATTGTAAAGGCCTCACACGACTTAAAACACTAGTACAATCCTGTATCTTCCCCTCAAATGTCAAAACTGATCTTCGACTTTATGGAGGCAAATCAAAAATTGGCGATGCAACGAACCTGACATGCTCTTATATTCTCGGCGATTTGATAGCGTTCACCAAGAGAATAAGCTCGAATGCCACGTTTTCGGCTCATCGTCTCCCAGTAATAACGTTTATTCAGTTTATAATTCAGGCTATTTACCTGAAATAATTGGATTTATTGCCAAACTCACGAAATATGATCTCACTTCAATTCCTTTCATTTCAGTGGTAATAAGTCCACACTAAAACTTTACGACAAGCTTGCCACTATTTCGATTCACCTTGACCTGGGAATCAATTGGCGCAGTAGTCGATGGCCCCGTAGATTTGAAACTCTTCGGAATCAAATTTTTTTCTGGAATGGTTGATGTAAGCTAGGCTCCCTAGAGGACGAAGACATGGATCAAAGCATACCCTGGGCACAATGCATATTTCTGTACAGGCCAAATCTATCGTCTTGTTTCTTCAGCCTTGTTTGGGAGGTCTTCAACAGTGCCGATGCCGTCACATTACTCAGTGTGTCAATACTTCTGTGCCTTTTTTGCTTAGTGTATTTACCACTCTATACCAGCTTCTGGGCGAAGGAGGTGTGTATGCGCATTTAATACGCCACGACGATTCTGAATGGAAGTCGAGTGTGGGGGCGCATTCCTAAGACGGGATTGGGCCCAAAGAATTCGGTCTTTATCTACTGAAAGCGTCATGAAAACAGTACAACAATGATGGTAATGAATGGAACTCACCAAAACTCCTATGTTGTTCAGAATCATTGCAACGACGAACAAAAAGATAGTCGAATTCACTGAAATAGAAACATCTGCGTAAAAGTAAGCTCATGGATTAAATATGGCTAGTCATGGGTAACGAGCTCACTAGCTCATCGTTCTGATTCTGCTCCCAGAGCAAGAACAAAATCTTCAGAGTCCTATGGAGAGAATATATGAAAATGATGAACCTCTGTGATAAATATATGACGATAAGGCCGCCATAGTTAATAAAATTAAGACAAGTATATAACCCAAAAAGGAGCGTTGCTTTTTTTCGTAATCTTCCAGGAAGTATGTGGCGAAACATCGTTCAGTCACAGCAATAGGAAGGGAATACAGCGCTGGAAAAAACAACAAAACTGAAAAAAAAACTGGAAAGCTTAGAAATACTCACAAGGTTGGCGATTAATGGACAAAACTTCAGTCTCTGACAGGACTCGGACCCGTACTTGTCCTTTCCGGGAACCGTGTCTTACACTACAGGGATCCCGCTTGCCCTCGCCTTCATAATGGCTCATAGCTTTGTCCATAAATCGCCAACCCTGTCAGACTTCCAGCGATAAACAGCAGTTAACAGAAACCCCAAATCAAAATCTAGAAATACTTTTCTTTCAAAAAAATACTTTGAGAAGAAAATTATTAGTCGGAAATTCAACTATTAATTCATCAGGGCATGTATATATTTTAGCTTGATCCAGCCTCTTTAAAATGAAAGAATTGCTAGAGATAATGGAGTTATACGAAAGGTACTCAATCGACTGGGCTCATAGATGACAAATTGTGTGTTTGAAATTGAAGTCGCTATCTCCTTATATTATTATTGTGGCTAGTTTGTTATAAATAAGAACCGGACAAGAGAAATATTCCAGAATGTAGTTGATATTAGCTCAGAGAAGAAAGGAAGGATCTAATGAGTTGTATGACTTCTAGAAGGATACGAGGAAGTGCAAGGATTTCTAGTGATATTAGTCTTCCCACGAAAATGTCCTTCTTATTTGAGGAGAACACGACTCGAAAAGAGCTCAACCAAACTTAGGGCTCTTTGATGTAAAGCTCAAAGTTATATAATGTTGTTAGGGGGGGGGGNACTTTTTTTTCAAAAAAATACTTTGAGAAGAAAATTATCAATCGGAAATTCAACTATTAATTCATCAGGGCATGTATATATTTTAGCTTGATCCAGCCTCTTTAAAATGAAAGAATTGCTAGAGATAATGGAGTTATACGAAAGGTACTCAATCGACTGGGCTCATAGATGACAAAT